ACAAAAACCCAGTTCAGCTGTGGCGGGGAGCACGGCCTGAAGACAGTCACTACCTGCAGTCACTGCTCAGGCTCGAATGCTCACGTGTCATTTATAGACCAAGGGAAATGAGCCCTGAGCCCAGTCAGCAGCCCCTTCCCTCCGCACAGATCAGAACAAGCCCTCGCTACCTACTCCACTGCTGCTCCCTAGATGCACGTGCTTGGAGAGCTCTGGTGAGGAATCAAGACTGCGAGATGAGGAGACCTCGTAATGGCAAAAAATTCTCTATACCCCTGTTTTTTGTTGCTGCACGTAGCCCTCAAGCCTCGTTGCTGCAGCACATAAAAACGTGCCCTAAATTCTGCAGCACCCAAGCCAAGAAAGAAGGCAGGGCAGACCCGGCCCCACGAGCCAGTCGGGCACTAGCGCTGCCCTGGCTCCTCCAGACACCCCTTCCCTCCCCCTCAGGCACGAGGCCCTTGGGGAAGGTTCCTCCTCGTTCCCTTTAAACACCTCAGTAGGGCACCTGGCTCGAGCCCCTTCCACGGTGGCTCTTAGTTTCACCAGGCGGCTGGTGGACTTTAGGCATGAAGTAAATATAAGTAAGTAGCTCATATAAGTAAGTACTTTGGAGGGAGGGCAGAGAAGGAGAACGGGAGCCACCAAGGCTACCCATCTGCTAGGAAAGTGGTCACCTTAAGCTGCCTGAAGAAGTACAAAGATACTCACTGCATCCTGGGAAGGGCAGGGAGACAGAAGAGGAGCTGGTTCTTGCTTGGGAACTCTGTTTCACACTCAAGGCAGGCCCCAGGCCTCCCCCAGCTAGCAAGCGTGGTAGCTCCTGGCCTAAGCTGTCCTCATCTGGCTTTTCTTCAGCAGCTCCAACAGGAGAGAAGGAGCCTATAGCCCACTTCCCATCTGCTTTCAAGCTTTGCCTGCTGCTTGGTAACTAGGGCATGGTCTTAAGCTCTGCTCACAATACAGGTTAGTGGGCTAATCCTCCTGCGCCACTTACATGTTTCCAGCATCAGCAGAGCCACGTGCTCCAGTCAGAGCTTTGCATTCAGGACGCAGATATCCGTAAGCGTCTATCCCACCTCCTAATTCCTAAATGTGTACTTGGATCTTCATCAGGATGCTCTGCCTTGGGGGAAGAAGGAAAACATTATTCAGGGTCATGACAACTTCATAAATGCTGCAAGAGTTCAGAATGGTTTTTGGATAGCTCTGTGTGCAGCCACATTAGCAAACAGAGGGCCCATCTGATAAAAATGCTCTGTAAAGTTCACTTTAAAAAAAATAAACAATTTCATCAGTAACGGATAAACTACACTTTCACAAGTAAAGACAACCAGCACAGATGCTGGGAGGTCATTCAGCCTTACCAGCAAATGCTACCTGGACTGTGTGACCACCTGCAAGTGGAACTGCACACGCACAGAGGTGCTCAGAGCCCGCAGAGATGAGCTGGGCTCTTGTCAGCACAGGGCCACGGCTGCCGCTGAGGCAGGATCCCTAACCAGTTACTCCAATCAGGAAAAAAAACACCCTCTGTAATACAGCCCTTTATATTAACAGCGTCCAGAAAACTCTGGTAACACATCTACCTAGAACACTACTTATTCTCACCAAAAGTGAATTCAAAAAATGCATACGTTCAGAGTTTGCAAGCATTAATGGACTTCATTTTCAATACAAACTGTGAAAGCAAAAAAAAACATAATCAAAAAGAGCACCTGCAATGGAAAAGGGGAATGAAAGGCAGAAGCCTGAAAGGTAACACCCCTAAACAGATGTTCCTCATTCCTTTGATAAAGGGACTATCAATGTATTAAGGAAGCCACAGTAAAGGTTGAGTAATCACAATGTCTGCAAAGCAAACTTCATTTTCCATCACCTTGTAGTTCTGCTTTGATATAGCTAAAAATCATTTCAAGTAGCAAACACAAAAAGTCTGAACCTTTCTCATTTCCTTGTTCGCAGAAAGCTGCACTCTGTAACACTCATGCACACCTTTAACTTAGCGCTTGAGAGAAGAAGGGATCTAAACGTTTTCCAGTGCCTGAAAGGTTATTTCCCGGCAAAATCTGACCATTTACAAATGAAATTAATCTTATATTCAAAACAAGAAAACAGACTCCTGTCAAAAAGCTCAGACATTAAAAAGGGCTACTCAAAGAATATACAAATTATATGTCCAGATGCCAAAATAGGGGACTCTGGTGTAATGAAACCCCAATATTCTGGATCTTGTGAAAGTCAGTCAAATGGCTGGCAATTCCACACTGAAGGTGAATGTAAAACAGTCACACTTTCTTCAAAGAAAGATGTGTTATTTTGGATGTTGGATATATTTGTAAGTGTTGGATGCATTTCAAAGCAAGAGGGCTTACGTTGTAAACACAGCATTAAGTGGGCTCTCCTCCTAAATCCTACAAAAACACTAAGCCACGAGGAATGGCTTCGTCAGATCCAAATTAAAATAAAGCATGTGGCTCGACAGAGTAAATGGATGCAGAAATTCACCTGTGTGAGTATCTGTATTTACTCAAGCACCTCATGAAATCACCACAGGGGCACCTACTGTTTCACTGAATACTGATATTGTGCAAGCAATTGTGAAATCCTGGGAATTTTCTGCAAATCTGCACCTCCAACCTGGCTATGAGCACTGTGTGCTGCTCATGTTCCAAAAACCTTCCACTAAGTTCAGACCCTACATTCATACTGAGGTAATATACCTAAAAGCCATTTTTTAAGCACGTAGTACTAACAGGTGATGAACAACAGTCATGTTTAGGGACCAGATACAATTTTACATTGTGAACTGGGATTTTTATCACAGCTGTAAACAAGGAAACAAAAAATACTGTCCCCTCCGCTGCGCTGACAGCCGTATTCGTTCATTATATCTGTTAATCAGCAGTTAGTTAAATACCAATATAACTGCAACGGAATAATGGCTCCAGATGTCACAGGAAAGGAAATTTTCATTCCTTAAAGATACATCTTGAGAAACAGCAGGAAGGCCCAGAAAAAAACAAATACCATCATCTGCAGGCACATAAGCCCAAAAAAGGATGCAGCAGGAAAGTGTTCGTGCACACAGCAGCAGAAGGCTAGAACACTCTGGAAATTCCTAACTGCTTCCCTGCCCCGCCCAGCAACTGAAGCAAAAAGGTAGAAGGGCTCTTAGAGATTTTAGCAGCAAGATGAAAACCTGTTTTTATATTTAAAGAAGAATATCTATATTTTTCAATCCTTGACTTAAAATGGCAAAGAACTGCTTCTTATGTTTCCAGGTGTCCAGAGTTCTGTTTTTCTGCATTTTTTAGAATATCCATAGTTAAAATTCCCCTCCTTATCTCCTCCGCATCCGCCTGCTTCCAGACCCAAAAGTAGACCGTGTTCCTGAAGGCACTCTACTTTTCTGGCTCAAAGAGGGGAGGAAAGAGGCTTATTAGCACAGCACATCACCTGCAACACCAACATACCTTCATGGTGTTAGTCACACATACTAGTCTGAGGAACAGACACCATGAATATCAGATACACGTCTATAATAACAGACGTTATGAATAACAGAATACATACTGCTCACCTAGGATCACAATTTCACTCTCTAATTCCTCTTGACCTCCAGGTATCTAGACTTTCTTGACCAACACATCCTTTAAAAAGGAAAAAAGTATCTAGCTCCCTTCTCTGTCATCATCTGATCCTAAATAACTGGCTAAAACACTTTTGATGGGAAGTGTCCTCAGAAATGCACCACAAGCAATACTTTGTGGTACAGCAAAACCCTGCCAACCCCCAAATCCAACACCACAAGCGGCACAATGGCAACCTCTCTGCCATTAAAACTTTCCTAGCACTTCAGTGAACTCTTCCATTACTCCATATATAAAAATCCATCTCTATCTGCGTATTTGTACATTATGAAACATCAACAAAAGAAAAACTATAAAAAAAATCAACAATGTGATGGTCCTATGTGGCTGCAATTCGCTTTTCTAAGTATTTGTTGCTTGCTGATTAATTCACAACCTTCTGGAATACGTAACTGTTCTCTCAAACACAAGCGGCAGAACAAGGAAGTGCTATTCCAGCACAACAAAACAAAGCCAGAAGAAACAAAATTCCTGTTCTTTTCTTGTTCAAGCTAATTAGACTGATTTATTTGTCCGTCATCAGTTGCTTATATAGGGTTTCAGCTAATTATTTATCCATTTCAAAAATAATAAAAAGAACAGCCAAGAAATCCAAGTCACTCCATCGACTCACCAGCCCGTTTCCTTTCAGCCCTTGCAGAGTTCGAACAGAGGGAGAGCGCAAACACGGTGGGTTAAACGGCAGACTTTGTTGGATAATTACTGAAAATAAACCATGTCCACAGAGGTCACTTTCAAAAGATACACAGAAGCAAATTAAACAAATGAAAAAAATGTGCAGGTATTTACAGCACTAGGCAGAGGGCCACTAGTGCCAAAAAGTTAAACCCCAGAAACTACTGGGCTTCCAGGTTACCTTTTAAATTCAGAAACCTTTCACACATACCTCAATGTGAAAATGTTCCAAAATGCAGCATCTTACACATTTCAGCTTAGATTTCTAATAGGCAACAGGATTTTTTTTTTTTTTTTAGTTTAGTCTACTCCACTACTGCCTTACAAAGGCAAAATTTATTTTGGAAGAGCTTGCATGATATGCAGGACATACACTCTAATACATTCCTTCCATTTAGATCCTTTTGAATAAAGCTTTTTCATGCCACCAGTCAAATTCTCCAAACCTGGCGCCCCCAATACCGTTCACTGCGTGGATATGACCCATTTTCCTCCTCTAGCCCAGTGTTCTTTTGTGTCTTCGGTTCTCCTTTAAAAAGAAGTTCAACCATCACGTGAAGAATGTCCACAGGCATCTTACACTGCCTTACAAAACAGAACGAAACAAAACCCACAAAGAACAAAACAAATAAAATGTCCCATCCAGAGAGCGTCTTCTTTTAGAGAACAGCTTTACATTCCTGAGAGTGAAAACAGCTGGACCAAGGTTGCCTTGAACCGTTCCAGGACTTGTCAGACATTGTAATCTGGGGACTTCCCCTGTGGTTGTCTCAGCCGTATTTGTAACGTAGAAAACGCCCCCACAGTCACGTGAAAGAAGAGCTGCCACAGATTGCGCAGTTCATACAGATACATGTTACACAGGCAAATGAGCCCAAAAGTCAGGAAGGATTTGACATTCCTCCAGCCTGTGTAATACACAAATAGGTAACACTGCCAGCGGGGAGAAAAAAAAGAAAAAGAAATAACATTAGTACATGGAAAATAACTTCCACTGATGAGATATACCTGGTGACTAAGAAATTACAAAAATAGAAAGTAGAGCTTTTCAAATTTTATCAGTGCTACAATACCCACTTACCGTTTTGTAAGCAAAGTAGGCCATAAAACAGCAGGGCTTTAAAGTTTACTTGGAATTACATACTTACGTAAGAACAGTATCAATATACTACCAGTCAGGCAAAGTAAGAGGTACTCGACATCAATAAAAGGTTAAGTTTGGCTTCCATTAAACTCTGAGGGCAAACCTCTCATAATAATTGATAAAAACAAGAGTAACGAGAGCGGCCCACGCGCAGGGGCTGCTCCTGGCAGCCTCCAGGCTGCAGGCAGGCTCTGCTCCAGCCGGGCCGGGCGCAGGAGCCAGCTCTGCCCCTCCTGGGCAGGAGGAGCAGGGGAGGCCGCGGTGCCAGCGGAGCCGCTGGCTGCGGCTGCAAGGTCCAAGGGCAGGTCTGTGCCCGGAGAACCCGTCCGTGCCGCTCCGCAGCTGCCTGACCCGCCTGCTCCCTCCCGCCCGCTCAACGGCTGCGACATCTCCCAAAGTAAAACTACAGATATGTAATCAGTGGGTTTCAGAGTCTATGTAGAATGCCTTTGAACCTGCTTGGACATTTTGAGCACAGCAAATACCGCCTATTTCTACAGACAGTTTTATAAATTACATCTAAAAGAGCAATTCATTGGTGCTAGCATGTCGACAATAAGAATCCAGATAATCTCCTCGTGCTACCTCCTCCACTGACATCTGAAGAAGTACAGCTCCTTCCAAGAACAAAGCAAGAGGCAGTATAGGCTTCATTCAAATAATGAAATTTAGAAAGATCAAAAATAAACAAAAAATAGCACAGAAGTCTAAATATGTCAGTGCAATATGCTGTTGAATGATTGTAAATTTTACTGAAGATCTGTTTTAAATCAATTCTGGAGCCGAATTTCTCATTATTTGAGGTTTGAGATGATAAAACAATTCTGCTCCCTACAAAACAGAGCAGCAGTCAAAAAGCCAAGACACTATGTTGTAACGTTACTTTTAAAAGTGCAGTAATTAAATTCCTGAGGTCTTTGTTCTCTCTCTCTTTTTTTTTTTTTAATGTTAGTAAATAACTGAAGGTTCAGCTCCTGATGCTTCTTTGCACTTCAGGTACAACTGGGACACAACTGGACATGTCAGCACTATATAGGCTGGAACAACTTTTCTTGGATTCTTGGGTGTATTATCCGTGTTCCTCATCACAGCTATTTTTCCCTGAGAACACTGTAGTGCTATTTTGTCAGTGTTGCAATATCCAGTTACAGTTTTGTAAGCAAAGTAGGCCATAAAACAGCAAGACTTAAAAGATTACTTGGAAATGGTGCTTTAAGATGTGCAACAAATTACAATCCCAATGGAAAAAACCCTAAGGCAATTAAATAGCATAGTTAATATCTGAATGCTGCTAAAAACTGCCCTACAGCTGTACATCTAATTTCTGTATAAAACTGACCCTAATTGCTGGTAACATCAGCTTGAAACAGAAAGCTCTAGAGATTAATTGGTAAATGCTTATGATGATGGACCATTCCCTCAAGTGCCAGTTGTAGCTAGAACAGCTACTGCTCAGTTTATGCAGGAGATGCCTTTCTCCTACATCAATCTAAAAACGTCCAGATGGCATATTGTATACGAAAAACGCAGAGGGAATACTATTATTATTTTAGTTTGATACATACAGATATATGCCTCCAGTCTTGGCTTGCCAGTCAATACATCCTAAGTATTACTAGGATTCTTGAAAACCTATTAAGTTTTTTTTTTTTTCCACTTGTTTTCTTTGTGAGACAAACAACCTATTCTGCATAAGTCCACTTTCCTCCTCCATGCCCAAGTTGAGTTTTGTTTTCTTGGAAACTCAAAAAAAAAGAAATATACTGCTATGTAATTATCTATTGAGCAAGATAACACAACATGATGGAAGTCCTGGGGGTAAACAGTAACATGCAACGTCCTGTCAGGTAACACAAACATGGAGATAACCATCCCAACTCCCACACGGGCAAAAGGACGTCAGAGACGCCACGGAACCGAGAGGCCTCCTTGTTCTGCAAACCAACCAACTACATCTTGCTGCAACGGCCTTGGGGGGCCCAGCAAGAGTCCTGATGGATGTACTTGGAATCCTAAGGAAAGGTCTACATTCCCAGCTGCATGGGATATTTCTTTATATAGGGCTATTCAAGTCAGCAAGTGGGGGAAGGACCTAAGTCCTTATGTCTAAATACACAGGCAAGAACACTTTATAAAGTAAGAGTTTCTAATTTGGGAGAGGAGGGAAGAATGCTTTTTTTCCTCACAAAGAAAAAGAATGGAAGAGTTCCGCCTTACGTGATACAGAACAGACTTTTGGCATGGAAAATTAACACCAGTTTGAAGAATTATTTAAGGCAGAAGCTGGCGAAATGTCAAGAAGTGCTGAAGAATACAAGTTGTGCTGTGACATTTTGCTAGGGACTAGCTGCAGAGAAGAGAGATTACAGACAACTTGCATAAAAGGCTGATTGAAAGGAAGGTTGAGATAAAATAAAATCCTAGGACATTTATCTTATTTTAGTCTGACACAGTACTAACTATGGGCACATGACAAGAAGTGGATACTGGATATTTCACAGGCACAGAGTCAAAACAATTATAAGAATAACAGCAATCGATTATGACTGAGGTAACTGTCACAGCTAAACATAACAGTAGTGTCACTGAATGACAAATGCCAAAGTTTACCAGGATACTTTGCTACCAATTATACAGGAAAGTGAAATTAAGCTGCAAAAATGGAAAATCTACAGACATAAAAAAAATGCAAGTACCACATATCAGGTTAGAGAAGAAAAACATAGTGGAAAGTGGTGAAAACCTTGAAAGGGAAGGAAACATGATAAAGTATCAAGCAGGGGAGATTTTGGGGTGTAGTAAATGCTAGGTATTACTCTATTTGCCACAGACAAGTCATCTGTGCAGCTGGATACACTTAAAATACAGAACTATTATTTTAAGGAAGTTATATAACTTCCATTGCTTGTGATTTCTACAGCTTCAAAAAGAAAAGCATACCCAGGATCTCGACGAACTTAGAAATAATGCCAGCAAACGAAGCTTTATGTAGGCATCCGCTCTATCATAGTTTACGATCAATGAAGTAAAACACAGCAGAAATTGTTTTTAAAATGACTCTATTCAAATATTCATGGCACTTAAGAAACAAATGACACTTATGGATGACTGAGTAATGTTCTTAACCTCTGGTGAACTACACAGACACAAGAACATACCTGGTACAAGCAGGCTGCTGTTCCAAGAAAAAATGCAATAACATAACTGAAGTCTTCGCCTTCGTTCTGTGAAAATAAAACCAAACCACAACATCTAACAATGTTTCAACAAAAATATATGCTAGTTTTGTACAGTATAGAAGTTATTCATTACTGAAAGTTAAAGTAGTCTTGCATAAAGATTTACAATAATTGCTATACTAAATTAAACCACTGGATTTGGTAGTAGTTCTCTCTCTGGAACAAAATCCACGCGATCTCGAATCTGACCAAAATGCTTTTTCATCACAACAGATAATACTGAGATTTTCAAAAATGTGAAAGGAAGCCTATGTAACACTAGGAACTACCCTTAGTATCAACTTTACAGAATTGTGCCTTCCTGTAACTTCACAAAATGGAACTAGGTAAAACAGAAAAGACAAACTTGCCACTAGGGCGTGCTAATAGTCTATGCAGAAATCTTACTCAAATGCGTTTTTATAGATTCTACAGAGCTGAACAGAATGCATCTACACGCTCCATGATTATTCTCTCTGCATTCCAAACAAACATCTGCTACAATCAAAAACCTTCCCAGGAAAACAAAGGGTATTCATGCAAATGTTCTTTCTTGAAGGAAAAATTCATTTTGAGAGGAACTGGACCATTTGGAACTACAACTTGTTTCTGCTAACATTATGTTCAGCGCAAAGCATCTGCATTTACAGCTTGCAACAGTGAAAAATTCACTTCTCTGCACTAACATTTACCTCCTCGATGCAGTACAGTCCTAAGGCCTATGAAAGTCTTACATGGCCAGTGTGGGTTTGCTGAAGTATAGCTACAGGTTATAACATGAGTTTGGCTAATATCTAAATAAAATGCAAATGATAAAGGGAAAATTCCTAAATTCAGACAAAAGCTTAGCAATGACTTTTCAGAAAAGATTCCTTAAAATTACATTTTGGGTGATTTGGGTGACTTCTGCCTTAACTTATGAACTTTTCCATTATAAAGGAAATTAAAAGACTTTTGGATGTAATTTCAGTGTCATTTGTCAAAAATGAAAGAAATACTATCTTCCATCCCCACTGCAGTGTATTACCTTCAGATGCAACAGCATACAGAATGAAATGAACTGGCTGCCCTATCATCAGTTAAATAGGTTAATCCAACATTTGCATAGCTTTCTGCAGCTGCGATTAAAACAAAACAAACAAAAAACTAACTCTAGAAACACCGCAATTAAAGTTGTAAAATCATATTATTATGTTGTTTTTATATAGCACCATACTTCAAATTCCTTCATTTTTATAAATTAAAAGGCATGGTGACAAGGCATTTATAAAATATTGTACATACTCATACAAGAAATACAGAAAACAAGCAGTGTCTCTGTTCTATAAAAAGTTGTGTAAATTTATATAAAAACATAAATAGTCAAAAAAGTAGAGAGGCATATTTACTATTTCATTCTTAGTTTTGCTTTATTAACCCTGCTCAACTATTCATTAGTCCGCAGGAACTGCTCAGACCTCAAACATTACTGTTTTATTAATCCTGTACATACACCAGTAACTATACAAGACATAACTGAGATGCAAATGATCATCTTTCTGCTTACTGCTCTGAAACATCATTTTCATATCAAAAGTTCCAGTGCAGTTATTGCAGTTATAACATCTGCACAAATAGGAAAATTCCTCTTTCCTTTCTGAAGTCTTCCATGGGATTTTTAGTTTTTATCTCCATCACAACAGTAGAACCATGTTTAATGTTAAGTAAATCCTTTTTTTTGTAGGGATATGCACTTGCTTTTTGTGCACAGTGGAAACTCACATCAACCTATTCACTTGAACTGCCAGAAGTCATTAATCACTATTCTGTTAATTACTGCAATGAGAAAATAACTAACAGAAGAAATGGAAGAGAAAGGAAAACTTATCTGCTTAAGGTCTGTGGGGCAGAATGTCTTTTACAAGAAATGGTTGGACAGTTTCTCTTAAATATAATTCACATTGATCTTTTCAGCATAGAGAGAGAAATGATTATCCTATTTAAGAAGATTTATTAAAAACTAAAACAAACCAAAAAAAGCCTTTCAAAGAAAAACAATTTTAGAAAAACTCTTTAAAGGCCCTTTTTTGTGGATATTTTCATCATTTCAAAGTGTTTCATTATTTCTCCTACATGTATTTACATAACAGCTATGCTAACATTTCATATCATGACATAAATTTAGAAAATAGGATACTACATCCACATACTCACTGCTACCAAGACACCATGGAGTCAGCCACCCACCTCATCCTGCTTTCAAAGCCCACAGCCTCAGGAAAAAAATCAATTAAGACTACAAAAATAAAGGAAGGGCCTCACAAACAATATTTGTGAAAATTTGAAAGATTTAGTTCATATTTTAAGAATCTTTACGGTGACATGATGATTGATTTGATGCATAAATTTGGTACAATACCTGTAGAAGACTTTCAATGGCATGAAAGCCACGAATTAAATTCAAAGCCCCACACAGCAGACTAAGCACAAATGAGACAATCCCTGGCAGAGTTACAGGTTCCAGGCGCTGATGAGGAGCTGTAAAGCACAAGGTCAAGAACAGACATGCCAGGTCAAAGCAGTGTCTTTTAAAAGATTTCATAAAACAGTAACCTCAATTTTCAGTATCTTGCAGCTCAAGAAGAGATCACTGAACATCAGTCTTTAACAAAACATATAATTTCCTTCAATTAAAATACAGTACTGTCTCATATCTAGTCTTCAACTTGATACAACCAGTTTACTCAGCATGGTACTGCTCAGACATGCCAGGAAATGAGTAGCAGAGAATGCACTTGTGAGTAAAATTTGACCACAATTATTAGCCAGCTGGTAAGTCACATACTGCAAATCCTCTTGCAACATCCAATTTCTTCAATACCAGTGCTTTTAGCAGCTCTGAAGCTACAGCTAGTATCTATACTGCATCGTTATACAGACTTTTCCAATATTTTTGAATTTTCTTACGTAACACATCAAAATCAAAACTCCCTTTCCATGCACACCCACTCTTAGAGGCTTCTCTAGGTTCACAAGTACATCACAGCTGTGCACGCGCCGCATTGATGGCCCTTTCCACAATCAGTAAAGGAAAGCAAATATGAAAAAAAAAAACAATTCAAAATTCATAACAGTCTAGGCAACACTGAGGAAACAATAGGACTAGTGAACCATATTTGAATCATTCTGTTCAACTCAACGGAGTGTAATGATTTGAACAATGAGGTTAATGAACTGTAACATTAATACGGAGAGGGGTGTCAATCTCGGTTGTTTGCACTGAATGGAGCTAGGAGAAAGGCTTTCCAAGGCATTTATAAAGTTATGGAAACTTAAAAAAAATGACAATAGCTACTTCTCATTGATAAGCACACAGGGCTGTTTGATTATCACCATGTGATAGCTTCAAGAGAGAACACAAAACGAGTTCAATTGACTAATTTGTGCTGAATTTAATAATGAAACCTACAATTTTCAGAGCTTATTGTGTGCACACCAGAGGAGTACTACTAGCAACCACTTAGTTAAGGTTTGATATGAAGTTGCAGCCCAAACCATTACCTTTCAGTGACTTGTAATGTTTTCCACCTATCTCATCCACAGTCACTGAAGTTTTATGTGACCATTTCTCTCCAAACGTCTATTTCATTTACTAACAGATGAAATTAATTCACTAGTGAATTTTGACAATTTCAGGACAGCTCTCCAGGTTGTCTTGCTTTTTCCCCCCTAACATAAGGGTAACAAGGTGTTGAAACAGTTTTTAAAACACCTCTCTTGGAGAGTCATGGGAATCAAAATAAAACAACTTTGTCAGCTAAATCGAGACAGTCCATGAACTCAAAACTCCCTAACATAAGCCAAGGAATAAAGAAAGCAAAAATACTAGATCAGATGTTGGCTTTTAAGTAGCAAATTTAGGACATGATGTGGGAAACTGCAATGGCAGTCATTAAAAAAATAAATAAATCAGGCATGCTGTTTGGCAAGAGGTAAATTTGATTTGAAAACTTAACTATCCTTGAGAAAAATCTTAAATAGGGAATTCATCCTCACCAAATAAATACCAAAAACATCACACTTCAGTATGCTGCCATCATATTTCTAATGTCTGTCAACACCTACATTCACCTAAATGAATACAGGTATCAACAGACATAGCAAAATCCTATCCTATAATCTGCACACTGAATGCTTCACACATTAAACATTAGCCCTATTACAGAACAACTTTATCAAAAAAGGACATTTTCATTATTACATATTGAACATACATCTAATACCTGTATCTTCACAAATAACAGACAAGCTTCTATCAGCATAGTTAAAATTAACGTATCCAATTCTGCTAATCTACCTTGTAACAAAACAAGATTTGTGCCTTCCTAACTTCCTACTTCTTCATCATAGCTAATTTGATTTAACATATTTAATTCATTTGTTGCAAGTTATATTTTTAACTGGCAAGGCTCATCTCTCTTCGTAAGTGACTTGTGAAGGTAAGTGCATTGAAGAGATGATGCAAGACAGACATCAAAGCTAAAATACACTACGTCATGAGAGCTCTTCCCATAAGAGCATCACAGACAAGGCTTTTTTTTTTTTAAATGAAAAGGTATCTTAAAAAAAAAAACTAAGTTTCCAGCCCTACGTCATTTAAGGACACAAGTAACTAATGTCTGACACTTACCAGCAGAAATCTTACCAGTACCCTTATAATCTGCAGCAGACAAGTGTGCAAATCCATTAGCAGAATTGAGTTCTGACACTGAAATTTGGTAAGGCGGCCTCAATTTGATTTCTGTCTGCATGTCAGCAAGATTCATCTTTGTGGACAAAGAGCGCGTGTTGTTGTACCTCTGTTTGGTCCTCTGAATGAAATTATCTGGGTAAATTTTAAAATGAAAAGGTATATCCTTACAGACTTTTCTTAATTAAACAATCCAAGAACATGCAAGTTCATAGACATTACACTTCACAAATCGTACATTTAAATATGTTGCTTGAGCTGCTTGCATTTATCTTGGAACATTCTAATACTATTTCTGCTTGATGACTACTATATTATGGGCTATTTAATTCTGCAGTAAAAATATAAAGCTCTAGAACTCTGATTTCTTAATAACTGTGAATAAACTAATGGCTTTTCACTGCATGAGACTTAAAGTATTGCTACTATAAAAGATTTATTGCATTTATTCTGGCTTTTCTATTAAATATTCTTATGAAAAAAGTAACTTCTGCATTCAAGCATAAACTCACTCGAGCATGAAATGCGCCTGAAAAATATTCAGTCTAAGAAACTGAATACCATATTGTACAGATACAAACATTTTAATAAACCTACACATTAACAACTGATAAAACACAGAGAACAGGAAAAAAAAAGTGGATTCATAGAAATCTTTACAAGACATTAAAAATTGAGTGAATTAATTACAGACAAAAATCAAACAAAAGGAGTTTTTCTATTCTCAAATAACATATTTCCCAACAACATATTTCCGAAACAACAATTCTTTCTGCTCTAATGCAGTTTAATAGCGATAGTTAAAATAACTGCATAAGGTATAGTTCTAAAGTGACAGATATAAACAGAATCCCTAACAGTTGCTATCTAGTACATATGAGAATACTTCTGCTTGGAGCTTGCATCACAGAAGCCTATATGAACACATACGTGTATCATAACACAAATTAAAAGATTTGCCACAAATAAAAGCTAGTACACTTAAAAGCAAACACGAAATTCTATTTTTTTAGTTTGGAAATTTACGAAGCCAAAAGCCTTTACAGGCTAAGTCATTAAAGAGATACAAAGTCAAACATGTCATAAAGTATTATTAACTAGAAGACACTAAACTCCGAAGTTAGACACACAATATCTGAACTAAAACCAATTTAAATGAAGATAAAGACTATAAACAACCTTTAAGTCAAACTCAAGTAGCCTGACTTAACTCCCACAGAACTATTTTCTTCTGTTGACTCTACTGAGAGTTCAACTAGATTCTGAAACCACCTGAAATACAGCTACAACCTCTCTAATATTTTTGTCTTGTGAGGATTAGGTTATACATCTACTTAAATACCGGTCTGACTAGGGTAATAACGGGAAATATGTCTGTAAAAAAAAAAAATGAAAAAAAGAGAAAACTCTGATCCTTACCAAACTCTATAAAACAGTATGGTCTGATAGCAGTGTTTGTCTTCATCATATTGTAGGTAGTAATGAACTCCTTCTGAAGCTCATCCAGGAAACAGAAAGCCAGGACACTGGGATAATTTTCAGTGCACAACATCATATAGCTCACTCCCAGAGAACTGATAAAGCTGTAATTGAGATGACAAATTCAAAACTTCAAAATTAAATCCAGGTGATTCACAGCTTCACAAGTTGAAATTCATATTATAAAATCAGAGTAGCAAAAACTGCTCTGGGGTAACGAAGGCATTAAGGTTTATTGAAAATTCAAACACTGTTCTAGAAGCAAACAATTTACCTTCGGGTAACGCTTTAACATAGCATTCTACCATCAAACAAGCAACTAAGCTATACATATATATGAGTTACAATTGAGTAACGTGCAAACAGATCAGATAGCAAGATAAAGCCCTTGGGATACAGAAGTTGGCTCTGTCCCATGACAGTGTTTCAGTAATCTCAGATGTAGAACATGGCATGTGGTACATTCCCAAAGACAAAAAATTATCTGCAGAATGGTTGGCGGGGGGCAACAGAGCACAGCTGGCTGCTTTGAAACATGAGAGGGAATGAAACTGCTCCTTCATTCTCTAGAGAAAGATGTAAAGATGACCAGAGACTGCAGATATGGAAAGAAGGGAGGGTTTTTAACATACATATACCTAGTGCTCTTTGGCAATCAAAATATAGTTCACTTTTTCATGACATTCAAATTTATTCAAAATCTCAAGGGATATATATATATATATTAATATATACACATTTAAAAAATTCCTACTGAAAAAAAAAAGCTCTAAGGAATAAGATGGTCTTAAGTCTTATATCCTGTTCTTAAACGCTTCTTTTACAACTGATCAGTTTATAAGCCAACAGCAACTGCTTTCTGAAAAATTTACCAGTGACTTTATTCAGCAACAGTTCTGTTTTATGGATAATTAAAGCAATGAGCCAACATAAACGTGTCAGAGAAAATATTTACTTTTTGTTCGCCATTCACACAAACAGAAACTGTATTTGCTCTTTGTAACTAAGATGTAAAATACTGCAGAACTGCAATTCACAGCAGTATAGACACAAGATGCTAAGAACATGCTTTGCAATGTCTCGACTCTTGCTTAAAAGAATGGTTATACGATATGATGATTAAGGAAAAAAATGAGAAAGATAATTAGGAACTTATTTTTCAAATAAACTAGCTGTTCAGTCTTATGAAACTCAGCTCATATATAAAAATAACTTATTAAATAATTACTAAATGGAAATAATATGCTACCATTCAACAACCAGGTAAAACATGCTGCTACTTTGTTTTATAGCAAGTGCTCCATGACTGGCAGGAAAGAACATAGAAAAAAAATCCCTACCATACAAAGTTCACCTTTTAATTTCTGGGATGAAAATGAAATTAAAGCCTACTAAGGCAATGGAAAGAATGTGCAAGTTTTTTTATTGATTTGTCAAATGCACTTTGGAACAGCTTTTCCTAGAACACTTTGCAGCTTTGTTAACCCCTTCATATTTGTTAGATATGAATCACTTGGAAAAATGCAGCTCATTCTGGGCCTAATCCTGAGAGATGCTGGAAAATCTCAGCTACCGACAGCACATGCAGAAGTGTGAGCACTTTTTTTTAGAAACATGGTATACTGCCCCATCACTCTAAGTGCTAGCTTAATGTCAACATGTCTGCTAGGGGTTAGGACATGGTATACTGCCCCATTTAAAATGGCCTATCTAAAATAGGATTTCAGCTCAGCTAAAGTGCAACTGAATTATCAGCTACACACAGGTGCATCTAATTACCACTACTAAGGAAAAAAGGTCACACACACAGCAAAATTCTGAGCAAATACTAGATTCAAATAATTATTTCATGATAATCCAAGTTTCACATTGCAAATACAGAAAACATTTTCTGAATTATTATTTATTAAGTGTTGACATGCCAAATTGACTAACTTCGAAATTTGAGGAATTGTTGTAAGAGAAATATAGTGTAAAGAAAACAAACAGCATCACTGTGAAAGAGCTGGGTAGAGTATCAGGACAGACAGACTCCTTCAAGCTTTACTATGTATTCCCTCCAGATTCTGGAAAAATTCTCACTTTTCCTACTCCCTCACTGCCCACGTTCAGTAATATTTATCTCCTGCCTGATGAGGATACTATACACTCAACTAATGTCCACAAGAGACTCCAAAACATTTGACAATGCAACCAAAACCAAACAACAACTCCACACAAATGGCCTAAAAGTTCTGTGGTACTTCATAAAGCAGTTAAGGTGTGCAATATTTGGATAACATTTGAAGACGTTATGGACAGGTGACGAAAGAGGATTTTAATAGTTTAAATGTCCACTTCCAACACTAAAGGAGCAATTGTAGTAACATTTTGTTAATACATGAGATCAATGAAAGGCAATTTAACAGCTCAGTTTTATTATTCAGACAAAGAAATAGATTAAGAGTGAAAAATCAAGTTTCTAACAATCAATAATTTTTAACAAATTAAATGTGCTTTACACAGTAGAGATTTATTTTATCTGAGACTAAAGTCTCAGATGTGATAAAGAATCATGATGTGTTTTACTAAGTATTATGTACATCTAGACTGTAGGACCTGCCAGTCAGGATAAGGTCTCCATCAACACAAGCAACACACAAACAGGTATGAAGACACAGTAAGAAGATTTATTATCTGGTGCCTCTACTGACATCACAGCCTGGAATAAGTGTTCAGTTATGCTCATTCTTAAGGTATGTTGTTTTCTCTGAAGTCAACAGAGATTCTAATGTACAGTTAATAGTGGTTGAAATTACACAATAAATGATTAAAAATGTGGTGAATTTCATGCAAAGAAACAACCTTGAAATTAACAGAAATCCTTCTGGTAAATCAACAACTTCAATAATCATAAAAATATTGGCAATTTAAATGATAATTTCCACTGAAGAGTGGCAGGTTTCAAATATTTCTAGAATTTCTCAATTTAAAATTTTTGATATACAAGAAGCTTCTTAATTTGATCAGTCACCACTGAATGGGCAACCATTAATGGTTTTAAGTTACAGACAAGCTCAACCCAGGAACATTATAAATACATACAAGAGAGATCTTACTTTATATTATACTGCCCAGTTTTCAGAGTACATCTATCAGGAAGCTGAGAAAGTTTCTTTGAGAGCATTTTAAAATATTTCCTACATTCTTGCACTCCTGAACTTTGTTCATAATCGGTAGATGCAGACAGTGGGAGTCCATCCCTCACACGGACCACAGAGGCAGATAAAATCATAGACATTGCCAACAGAGTTAACAACAACCTAAAACAAAACAGAAAATAGACTGAGAAATATAGAAGAATCAAAATTAAGGTAAAAATAAAAGAGACAGCTATGATTAAATAAAGTTCTTAAACTGTATATGAGGCTCAATCCTAACGTGGGGCACAGGGATGAATTTTCAACTGTAATTCAGATTAGAGCTCTAACTGAACAGGACCTAATAGGCTACACAAACCACAATAAGGCAGCAAATCTAACATTCTGTTTTCTATATTATCAGAATTACCCTAATTCCTCACCTGGAGACATCAGGGGAGACCAAAACTCTATTACTCCGCCTGAGCACTACTGCAGCACTTACATCTGGAAGATGAAAGCCTTGCATTTACAGCAAGACAAGACTTACAGCCTAAATAAACAAGAAGAATGGCTGGAGAGGTAAAACGTATATGACAAAAATATGCCAGAGAAAGAACTATCCTGGTCTTATCAATCAACACTGTTAATACGCTTTCACGTTATTAAGTGCATGCTGAAGTACCTTGACAAATGGAGACTTACAAAACTTAAATACAATCCAACAAGAAACGAAGGAATCGAGACAGCAAGGTATATTACCCAGCTCTCCCAAATCACAACACATTCTTACATGTGAAATGTCTTATTTTTATTTCCTGGGTCTCCTTTTTATTGTTATTATTAATCTACAAAATGTATTTTCTCAAAATAGCACTGTCTCTTCACAAAAGACAAAGGTCACTTTTTTCCCTAAACTCCTGCCTATTCTATTTCTCCACCTGCACAAAGGTGTTACCTGAGAAACTTCTGAATGACAATCAATATTCACACTTCTTGAGTTGCTCAAGTATATTTACTCCTCAGACAGCTAGGTGTGTAATAATAGAAACATTGAAAATCTGTTATAATTTTCAAATTAAGAAATTTAACTTTCAGATGCATCATGTTGACTTAGCAGTACGAGTTGCAAATTAATACCCTTCTAACTTTAACAGTGTATCATCTTGTAACAAAAGCCATCAAGTCCCTCTGAACCATTATCAGGTTGACTGCTTAATTCAGCATCTCATCACGGAGTTAATACTTGTATGAAAGGTACAAAAAGCTTGTACAAGTACTTTCACAAATGCACAAAATGTACTCTTTGATCACTGTTAAACACAAAAGCATAGACCAAAACAACTTCAGGATTTCCTCTGGTTTAGTTTGCTAAAGTGAAACATTCTAGAAATTGAACCTACAGTTCTGATAACTTTTATGTAACTATTAGGTTTATGCAAGTGCTCCCAGAAGGACAATTTGCATAAAATACCCACTATACAGAGGGCAGCCACTTCCTTAACTGTGCTGCCAACCATATAACCACGGCAGTGGCTCACAGACTCAACAGTTGCAGAAGATATCATGTTTCTCAGCCAAACGCTGCTTTCACCACTTTTAGAACGTAACCCTGAAAGGACTTGTGAGCACTACATCAGTATAAATAAGAACAATAACGTGCTAGCAGAAGTTTGTAATTCTCCTCATTAACTTACTTGCACAAAACGGAATTTCACGGATCTGCATTTCCTCTGGTAAAATAAGTAACCTCATTAGCACCTACAGGGAAGAAAGGACCCACAGCTCCATGTCCTGTCTTAGGAAATGTAGCAGGTGAGAGCAAGGCCGGAGAAACTCTGAATCTTGTAGCTAACTCTCAGAAGAAAAACAGCAGCATCTTCTTTGCATGTGATGTTAATTGTTGAAGTTCTTGTTGCACTTTCTGATGAAACAAGAATTAATATATTAATAAATTTATTTTGTGGCTAATTGTGTTATTCAACTCATTTTGTTAGGCCATGCTTACCGGAAACAGTTTAATAAATCTCCAAAATGAAAATGCAGCTTTACTTGGACCTGTAGATAATCAGGCTGCATAGAAAGCACCAACTGACACATTTGATAAACACACATACACAGAGTGAAAAAATTACGATTAAGGATATAAGTGTGTTTAGAACCTATTTTTTAAAAAACTATAAAAGAAGCCTTTTTAAGTCATCTATTCTAGACCACACTGCTTAACCCACTGTACCATTAAAAGTCAAATCATTTTTCTTCCATCAGTGAAATTAGTGGGTCCACATCAAACGCACTGACTTCTCAAACTACAATGTTAGCCAGGGGGACTCCTTGCCACAGGATGATGCAGATGCTGAAAGTTTATGTGGATTCAAGGGGCACCTGTTTAAGTTCACAGAACAGCTAGAAGGGTTGTTATGTCTAAAACACTGTTCCTTCCTCGGGAAGATTCTGACCCCCAACAACGAAAGTACCCTATGGAAATAAGGCTCCGTGATGGTCTTATGCATCCCTGTGTGTATCTGCTTCTGACGCATCTTTATGGATTTCCCTTTACACCAAAATTTTGCAGGCTCTCTGAAAATTCAGACAGAAAGAGCTCAACAAAACAGAAACATGGAGAAAGCAGACCGTAGGCAGGAAAAAGTGAGCCAATAGTCACTCCTGTGTTATCCCACTCTCCCTAAGTCTGTCAGAAAATCATACACACTCTGCTGTTTACACAAACAGGAATAGTAATATGCAATAGAAGCTTCCTCTGTTTAGAAGGAAAACTGGGATGATGCACATCAGAGCCTGTGACAGTTCTGGCTTTTCTTCTGAAGACACATCCAGTTACCTGGATTATTACTGTGTGTTATGGACGACACTTGGCCCTGAGACAGCATCAAAAAAGTCCTAGAAAGCAGTCTACATTCCAGCCCTCCTTTGCAATGAATTGGCCTTTCAGTTTGATACATGACAACTGGTGCCTAAATTTACCTGCTTTTTAATAACTCTTTGAAAGAAAACGTCCAGATGCGGCTTGTGAAAAGGACTTGCTTGGGACAGTCCAGTCATTTAAGAACAGCCCAGTTTCACACAGAAAAAATAAATAAATATGAATGGGACTGCAAGTAGTTCTGGGGTGAGGACAAGGCTGCACCCACGGGCACTCAGCACCTCGGCCCAGATGCCCCTCACCAGGACCCTTCCCCTCATAACAACCAGCCTGAAATAACAACTAGTGCAAAGCCCGAGCTGGGGGACTGCACGGCGCACAGCTCCTGGCCAAGGCCAAAAGCAGACACGGGTCCTGCTCTGGCCTGGCGCCTACACAGCCACCTCGGAGGGCTCCTTTTCCTGTCCTGCGGGTCACAACAGCTGCGCTTGGTGGGGAGGGAGCGATCTGGGCCCGCCCCCCCACAAGACACCTTACAAACTCATCTCAGCAGCTAAAACAGTGGGCAAGGATGAGGCGACACAAAAACCACCGCGCTGACGCTGTCAGGCAAAACCGGGCAGGGACCCGGCCCCAGACCACAGGCCGCACCACCCTTCTCAGGGACAGGGGAGCAGATCCAGCCCCGGGCAGCGGCCTCCGGCTCCTGAACAGCCCCCGAGGGAGGTCCAGCCCACCGGGGGGCACCGGCACCCCTA